CTTCTAAAATGTCACCACAGCTTAAATCCGTCTTCTTCTCAAGAAGAGTCTCCTGATATTCAGCCCAGGTTCCTCTTACCTCCCTCCTATTACTTCTGGTTATAACCCTATGTACCATGGCTAATCATTCTTCTCTTGCTTGATGTTTACAACACATAATTTCTCCCCATGCATTCTGGGAAGACTTTTGTTGACCTGGGTGATGCCCTGGGGGATTAACCCTGTCAAGTTCATTTAATAAAAAGTGCAGCACTGAGCCAACCCAACCTCACTTCTTGGCAAGCAACCAGAAAGGGGCCTACACTTCATTGATGGTAGCAGGCATGAGAGCAGTTGTGGATGGAAACAAGGGCTTTGCCCACCATGTTATGATTAAGGCATTGGCACTACATACACTAGCTGCAGTAGATGGAAAACTTCATTAGCAAAGAATTAGCCAGAGACAAGAAGGAAAAACATGTGATGTGGAAAGCATGCATCCCCTTTGCCCTCAGCTATATTATTTTGGAAGACTATCCCCATACATAGAAATGCCCATTCTCAGAACATGCCTGTTACAGCAAGCAGCCTGGACCACACAGAATTTCAATATGGCTTTTTTATGGATGTTTGGGTCCTTTCAGATTTGAGTACTGTATTCCCTTTATTTTAATCATTAAAAAAAGAAAAAATGGGTCTCATACTGCATGGCTATTCCCACTCCCTTATGCCAACTTCTACTCCAGGCACTTTGGGGAGCCACACGTAGCACACTTAGGACCCTACACAAGTAAAAAATAACTACCCATGCCCCAAATGAAAGCGTCTATACAAGAATGCTCTTCATGCAGCGTCTATCTGATGCTGCACAAACAAGCCAAGCTACTCTATGGGGTTTGGGGGGTTTTTTAATGCCCAAACATCATGCTTCTCTGTTGAAGAAGGAAAAAATTATCCACTCATTGTTTCAAGTCCACAGCTGAGCAACATCTTCCAGATTCATTTGCTCAAAGCATCAAAATAAAACACTTCAGCCTCCAGTACTTTCAAAAAACCAAAAAAGGGAAAAAAGAAATTGGAGGAAGCAAGTGACCATTTTATTACTCTTTGACAATCATTTTTTTTTCTTCTCAGCATCAAAAGCCATAAAGCTACTGCCTTTCACCATGTTTTGCTAAACCAATCTCACACAGTGCTTTAGAAAAAGAAACCTATAGATTCCCCCATTTACTTTTTCAGAGCTCACTTACAGCAAGTCCCTCCATCTTCCTAGCAGAACTCAAGTGAAAGCAAAACCCAGGGCCTGGTTTCTTTTTCTCAAGAAAACAAATATAAATACATAAAATTACTGCCAATCCCATTACACGGCATCATTAAGATAATCAAGCAGTGTTCTGTCCATTTTTAAAGTTTACTTTAAAACCCCAAAGAAAAAGAGAGTATTTTTATAAGATAACAAGACTCAGCTGGTTTTCTGAAATGTTATGACTAAATGCAGCACTTGGAGTCATAGTTGCTCAGCACCTCGCACTTAGGCCCACAATGGAACTTGTTACCTTAACAGCACAGAACGGTTGCATCATGGTCACCTATGAAAGTATCTAGACAGTGTAAGGTGAAGTTGTAATGAACTACTTAGACAGCAGAAAGAGATGCAGGTGGATTTGCAAGCAACACGTTTCTGATCCCGTCTATTTGAGGCTCCCAAATTCATTTAATATGGTCAGAAATGGACAGACCTCCTAGTATAAGCTTGTTTCCAGCCTAATAATCACTTCACAACAGCCTTCAGAAAGCAAAGCCTTCTGACCTTGATTGGGTAAGACAACAGAAATATTACTTTCCTCCAACTGGAAAAATTCTCACAGCTTATAAGGGTCAGATGGAGGAGAACACAGGAAGAGCACAAGTAATTAGTGAAAGCATTAAAGACCAATGATGGAAAACCAAACTCCCCCCCTTATTTGAGTAGCAGCACACTGTTGGATTTGTTTCTCT